TATATATATATATATACACTGTATGTCTGGAATTCAGCTTTAAGTAAGTGGGTTGTTGCCACACTTTAGAAAGCCCCGGGATTCAGTGTCATTAGGCATATCTTATATGCACAAGGGTGCACACAAGTGCCAAAAACAGAATTTAGAATTCTCTCACCTGCATGTATAGCTATAATTCATAAAACCTTACCCATCTTGCCCTTGCTAGGTTATCTGATTTCTCTTGCACAGTGATATTGGTATGTTTACTGTAACAAGGACACTCCACTGTAGTCCAGGTAAGTCAAATCAAATGCAGTTTATTTAGGGCAAACAGAGATATATCTTGCATCAGCAGCAACATAAGACAGTTCCCTTTATATGGCTCAGTAGATTCGCTTATGAGCCCTCACTCTGCTCTCTCAGCAGTGTGTCGTAGCGGTCCTAGGGTCACCGACCTTCCTGACCTCTCCCCTCGTGGGCACTCAAACACATCCCTCGTGTCACTGGCTCTCTGTCTCCTCGGCTGTCTACGAGGTGCCTCCAGCACACACAGCCACCTGGCTCCCCTCTGACATCTGGGTGGAGTCCTCCTGACTCCTGAACACCTCTGTTCCTCTTCCCAGCTGGAGCCCAGAACACTAGCCAGCACCCTTTTCATAAGGGCTATGCACAGGTGTGCAATCATTAGGTTCTGGCCCCTACTAAACCATGGACCCAGGAATGGAGATTTCATCCCTCCCAATTCTCTTTGAAATCTCCCAGTTCCAGGATCCCATACCAAATCCAGGTTTTCTGGAGAGAACTGCAAAGCCAGTTCTTTCCTAGCAAAATAGTTTGTTTCCTGGAACTGCTCAGTCTCTCTGGCTGAGAGTCCTGGGTTACTACAACCCCCAGTTCCACTGTGGGCTTGCCACACAATACCACATTACATAATATGATTGAAGAATGGCCAGTCATAGATAGGGGTTGTCCAATTTTCCCTGCATGTTTAAAGATGTCAGCATTCATAAACACTCGCCTCTACATATTTAAATAAAAGTCCTGTGACAGCAACAGGAAACTTCCTGCCACAGTTTATTAATGTAGCATAATGCATTTTGAATTGTCTCTCCTGGCTTTAGTGTATTGAATGCATAATTTGCCATTTGTGACCTTTTATTAGTTAAGACCAATATTTAAAGTAATTTTTTGAGTGCCTTGGACTATGTGAGCACCGATTTGCAGGTTATTTACACATGCTTTTACTACCGAAGACATCTTGGATATTGCATAATAACTATCACCAAGAGAAATGTCTATGAAAAATTATAATTTATTACCGAGAGACATCTGTTGTCTCTCTGACCACCCATATCCTGCTCCTGGAAAGACTGAATGCACAGTGAATACAAGTCCTAGCTAAATACAAATACACGACTAACTATAGCTGTAAAAGGACTGCATGAGCACTGTACTGCACAAAAAAACGTTAAAAACCCTAATGAAGTCGCCTCACATTGTATTATTTTTTACAGCTCTGGCACCTATTTTCCATAGTGTATGCTTTTTTTTTTTATCCCATGCTTCTGTGTGATGTTGAAACTGAGTTACAGAATTGGACAGAATCACCCCTCTTCATTCCTAACTATGCTTTACCAAGGAGACAGCCTCTTGATTGACAGCTCTTGTCTCACTGTCTCTGCATTTTCCAGACACAAGCAAGGTCATGAAAATGCAGGATGGGGGGAGCATTCAGTCACAGAAATCAACACAGGCACTAGAACTGGAATGGGAGCCTTGTTTTGTGCAGAGACACTACATGACTATTTCTAGCAGTTCTCAGATCACTAGCAGCATGGCATCACTAGGAAACAAATAAAGTTGTGTATAGCTGTATAAATGTTCCACTGTATAAATAGTTTTCTATTTTTTAGATTCCCATTTATATATTATGCTCATGTACTTTTGAATAATGTGTTATCTAACTATGCATTCCTGAGTTTGCAACTGGATTTTTATTGGCAGATTATGTAAATTTTACACACATTTGTATCTCTTACCATTTACATACATTGAGTACCAGACTGATCTAATCTTCTGCTGTTTTGCAGCATTGTCTGTGTAAATGGATATCGGTAGATTGCTGATAAAACTGTAGAGCTGGATTCCAGCATAGCATGTTGCATAATACCAGGGTGTTCTTTCCATTCTAATGGCTTGCACAAGTGATAACACCAGGAGCAATGCTGAACATATGTAATTTGTCTCCAATTTGTCCCTTTCCTGTCACTGAACTGCTGTCTCTGGTGCTGCTGGAAAAGCAGTTTGCATCTAAGAAAGGGTTGATGCTTTGTCGGCAGGTAGTTACTTTTGATGCTCAGTGTGAAGATAATAGCTTCTCTTTAAAATAATGCTGTAGAGTTCTTACTTCTGAAACGTACACTGTGACACCAACTTGGAACATGTTAGATGCTGGGTATATGTATTATATTTCAAATTATGTTGGACACATCCCCTCTGTTAAGGTAAAGTGTACAAAAAGAATACAAATGATATACATTTTTCATATGTCATGATTACTGAATTTACTGTAGTCTCAAAATAACAGTATAACCATTCTGTATTTCATGTCACTGTGTGTGTTATAAGGTGTGACATATGTCAGGTGTGCTGGTGGCAATGGTGAAAAGATCGGCTGCAAAGAGGCAACATCAAATATTGTGGACTAGTTGTTCTCCTTAAATCTGCATATATTTTTTTTAGCACAGCTTGCACAGTTCAGGCCCTCTTTAATAAACCTGTTTTTTCTTAAAAATCTCCATGCTAAAAAATGTTCATATTCCCTAGGCTATGCAGTAACAGCAATGTTGAGTTAAATTAAACATACTAAACCTATTTTTATATGTGTAGTCATACCCTTGACAAATATGCATACAAGAACATCATCACATTATCTGATTAATAAGAACAGCATTATTTTTCCTTTTAAAGAAAATATTCAATGGAATAGTCATAGCTGGACTTTCTTTCTACCATTTTGAAGAGCCAGAACATATCATTTTTAATTATGTGGAAAAAACTAAATCTGAAAAATAAATGGGAACTGTGCCCAGGCCTGCTGGAGAATGATGAATTCACACAAGCCACAGCTCACTAAAATGTAGCACCCTTTGTTAACCATTGGTCTGACAAGTAATGAGACATAAGCTGTAAGATTTTCTAGACTGTGTCTCTACTCTGATCAAAGCTTTTGGTGAAATTGATGAGCTTCTGAATTCAGGTGCTGCTGGAGCCGTGCTAGTGTTGGATGACTGTAGTTCAACTTAACCATCAATAGCCAAGAATTATTAATTTCACTTCAGTAGTATCATTAGACCCATTTTAATCAAGACTGAATGCGTGTTAAATCAGATCACTGAATTTTAGGCTGGCATCTTTTAACACAATTGTTTATTATAAACAATGACAGGTTTGAACAATGATTTTTGCTTTGATCATTATCAATATGCTGTTGCTATTATATCAAAGCTAAGTCAATACATATGTGGGGAATAACAGGAAATGCTATGTCAATTTACCTTTCTTTGATTCATTTGCATTGTTAAGTATAGTGATCAAAAGCTGTCTAGATGCTATTAGAACTGATTCATGTTGCAATCAACCTCTCAGACATAAATGCCACTGCTGGAAACTTTTTAAGAGCTTCTAAATAGGCACTATGATTGTTTTAATTACATTTATTCATGGCCCGTTCCAAAGCATTGCAATTACAATGATATTTTTTGTTTTAAGGGAAGAAGAGGGAAACCAGGGTCCCCTGGTAAAGATGGCCCTCGTGGACCTCCTGTAAGTACATTGCTTTTTCTTGATCATTATACTGCTGGCAACTGGATGCAGTATCTTTTGGTGTTTTTTCATTTCATTGTATTCCTGTTGAGAGATGTGAAGTGAACACTCCGCAATTTGAAAAGGCTCTAATTTCAGCACAAGCTTTATTGAGAAAATAAATGACAATAGGTCTTCTCAGTCCCTTTAGATTAGATGGTACCATTTTCAATTATCTGTGTATATGCTTTTCACAATATCCTTTTCTGTATGGGCTTTATGAAATGACAAGCTCTGTAATGATCATACAGGCTGCTTTGAAATATATAGAATGCTCATAACTGTGTGCAAAGACTAAATGTCACCTAAAATTCTGTGTATAGAAAATGATCTAACGACTATATCATGACATTATAGCCAGGTCCAGGTACTAGAAAGATTTATTCAAATCATTAACATTTTTAAGGCACTCTGTAGTTAACTGAGGTTTTCTCAATATTCTAATGAAAAAGATAGCATCCTTTAAGCCTCACTGTCTAGCTATGGGGATCAGCTGTGGGCGCAAAACTCTCAACAAGGATATGTCTCTTGCCTGAACAAAGATAAAAAGATAAAATAGGCCACACTATCTTTTGAATAAGAGCATCAATAAAAATATTATTGTTCCATGCAGTGAACAACTCCAGCTTAACTCAACTCCATTAAGTGTTTCACCTTCTGATAAGGTTTAATCGAAGACGCCCCTAGGAGGTTTTGAGTACAACATGGGTTTTCTCTGCATAGAACAATAATGATCTGTTCAGAACAGAATTGTGACCTTACCTAAATCTTCTATTTAACTGCTGTCGCTTGCTGATAATTTGAATCAAAATCTTGCATGTACATGGCTGTATTGTTTTCTATTCATTGGAGGTACGTTGCAGTCAAGCAAAACTGAGGTCTGTGGTTGGTACTGGAGAGGAGGTGTGCGGGATTTACCTGTGTGGTAGCAGCTTCTTTAATAAACAACTTAAAATGCACTAACCTTAATAATCCTTACAACAAACCTAAATTCAAATGTTAACATAAAACTAAGATAACAGTTTTGCATGGATGGATTCATAAAAACTAACTAATATGCTGTAATACTAACCTTTCCTGGGGAGATTCACTGCAGTGGTGGTGACATGCATGAAAGCCTAGGCACTTGGTTATGTGATCTCTCCAGATGTGCAGAATCAGAGTTCAAAATGGCTGATCCTCTCCTTAAAGCGACACAAAACCCTCAGCTTTTTTTCTCCTTATACACATCTACACAATGAACATTCTCCAAAACCACATGTATTTATGTTTTAAAATGAAGTCTTACTATTTTAATCCCTTTAGAAAGTCTGCTCTGCTCACTTCTGTGTTTCTTCTTTTAAGGCACACTTTCTGTCCCTTAGTAAGATCCGTGCACGTTCATTCTGGTCACATGCACATCTTTCATTGCCTACAACTCACATAAGACTGAGAGGAAACTGGGGAATTTATCAAAACTGGAGCAGACAAAATCTGTAGCAGTTGCACAGGGCAGCCAATCAGCTTCACTATTCAGTTTGTTCAGTTTAAATTTGAAAACAAAAGAGAGAGGCTGATTGGTTGCCATGCGCAGCTGCTCCAGATTTTGTCTGCTCCAGTTTTGATAAATTCCCCTCACTGTGACAGTTTCACTGCTTGTAATGTCCTCTGCATTGCTCTAAATTATCAAAGTACTTGCAACAAATCTACAACAAACATCAAGTTTACAACCACGGAAAAACAACTTTATGTCAAATGTAGGAGCCATCTTCTGTGTGACTGTGTGACCAAATTCAGCATGTGAGCGTACACTCAGAAGGAAGTATGAGGCTGGTGACAGCTCACATGCTGAATCTCCTCACAAGCTGCTCCCACCCCACTCCCTCCTTGGTAAGCCGGGAGGAGAGCAATCAAAGAACATATATTAGTGTGGCTGAGCTGAAGAAATCCCAGCTCCTTGCAGAGTCTAGAGGGGAGAGTTTGTGGGTGAAGACTGAGAAGAGGCAGAATCAGAAGACACTCCCTCAGCATGTTGTTGTCCTTCACATGAACCAGTACAAAGGGTGGCTACTTTTCAGTTCCTATAGGGTCCATGGAGAAGAAAAGTAGCCAACCTCTGGCAGGAAGTTGTGAATGAAGAAAAAAAACAATTTTGGAGCATTTAGAGCTGAGCAATCACAAAAAAAGGTACACAGTCATTGATTATTTATATAATAGAAGATTTTATTATTATTTAATTTTTGAGTTTAGTGTCACTTTAAACCTAGATCTGGAGCACCATTTTACTCCAGAAAATATAAGTATTCCTGTCCTTCTATTGCCACACATAGGGTTCTATTTATAAACAATTTGCAGAACCATTCACTCTGTGACTCTCTAAACATTTGTTTTGTATGAATAGAGGCAGAAATGAAGGTTCTTAATATATACTTTTTTCAAGTCAAATGCAATATAATACAGCATTATGGTCACTAGATGAAGCTGAGGACAATAGTAAATGAGCATTGATTTCCCATGCTCATCAGCACCATCTAGTGGCTGTAATGGCATTATAGATCACATTAAATTGTATTCATCCTGAAAGAAAAATATACTAAGAACATTAATTTTATGCCTCTGTTCACACAGAATGAACATTCCCAGCAATTTGCAGAGTGACTGGATCTGCGAATTATATATACCTAGACCCCATATTGTTGTACACAGGTTGTATACAGTACATACATACATGTTAACATTTGATAATAGGCTGACCTTAAGGACCTGTTCAGGCTAAAGGTGCCCATACACATTACAATTAACATTCGAAAAACAAATGCAATACATTTTTCGTACTATAATCGGCCAGTTGATGGGAAGTGCACAATGGCAATTACTGTACAACTGGACGAATTTGGTTGAATGTGCAGACTGGAAAACTTTGTCGACACAGACTAAAATTGATGGATTAGTGGCGTTTTCGTACAAGAAATATCACAACATGAACACTGCACATGCGCAAACGTAAATCTGTTATGTCAATCGATGAAATTCGGAGATTTAGTATTGCTGACAAACGATTATCAAAATCTACATTGGTCTGTGCATAATGGGCTATTTGTGCAGAAATTGAACAAGGGTGCGATGATGGCACAAATAAAATTGAACGATAATTGTAAGGTGTATGGCCACTTTTAGGGCCTGTTCACACGACGTCCGTTTTCTGTGCTGATCTGATCCGTACACTCCTGCACTAAAAATGCATCCCAATGTATCCCTATGTGTTTTATGGGCTACAGTTCTCACGTGCGCAGTCCGTTCAGGTTACGACAGAAAAAATACTGCATGTCACATTTTGTCCGGTCAGGAAACGGTGCGGAAACGCAAAACGCGTCAGAAAAGCGTAAAAAATGCACTGCACTGCAGCTAACATACTGACAGCCCCACTCCAGCAAAAAAACAACAACTTTTAGGTCCGGAGATCCTATCCCCCCTTAATCTCCTCACCTCCAATGTGAACATGTTTAAATTTAGTAGCCTTGTCTCGTAGCTCTGGTCCTCCATACCCCTAATTAGTTTGGTTGCCCTCCGCTGGACTTTTTCCAATGTTTTTAAAACAATCCCACATCTGGTCTGTGTTTAGGTTTTGAAATAAGTTTTCCCATTTATTTCCCCCACTAGGTTGCGCAGCTTATCAAAGTTGGCCGATTCTGAAGTTTAGGGTTCCATTCCTTCCAGTACACTTCCCTTTTCTGTGTTCAATATTAAAAGTAATCACATTGTGATCACTATTACCCAATGACTCCCCAATTACAATATCCTCGATTAACTCTGCATTATTAGTGACAATTAGATCTAAGATGGCATTTTTTCTGGTAGGAGTCTCCACCATCTGGTCCATGAAGTTGTCGCGCAACATGTTTAGAAATCGCCCCGCCTTTGCCGAACCCGAAGTTCCATTGGCCCAATTTATGTCTGGGTAATTGAAGTCACCCATCACGACTACATTGCCCTCTCTCCCAGCTATTCCTATCTGTGAGTGAAGATTGACTTCTCCCTCTTCCCCTATATTTGGAGGTTTATAGCAAATACGCACGAGAAGTTTACGGCTAGCGTCAGTCATATCTAGCTCCAGCCATAGGGTTTCCACGTCTTCCCCATTATTTGACGCGATATCGTCCCTTATATGCACTTTTAGATTATTTTTTGCGTAAATGCAAACGCCCCCCCCCTTCTCCCACCTCTGTCCCTCCTAAACAGGTTATACCCCTCTAGATTAGTAGCCCAGTCATGCGTGGTGTCCAGCCAGGTTTCCGCTATACCCACTATGTGGAAGTCCTCTTCAATTAGCCTAATTTCAAGCTCCTCTATTTTATTTGCCAGACTTCTAGCATTGGTGTACATACATTTAATTCCTCTCTTTTCGTGGGAAAAAAGTTTACCACCTTGTTGTTCCCCACTATTTTCATTGTTATGGTTGGTAGTTATACTTACATGTGCCGACGGATTTCCTATATTGACTGGAGTGAGCCCACTATTATTAACTCCTTTTTTACTACTTTCTGTGTTATTTTTACCTATGATTAAATTATCTACGTTTAGTTTAAGTAATTTTATTTTTATACCCTCCCCCTATGTGTTTTGTTGCGTTTTTGATGCGTTCCAGTTAAAAAATATATTATTATTTTTTTTGCTGGAGTGGGGCTGCCAGTATGTTAGCTGCAGTGCAGTGCATTTTTTACGCTTTTTTGACACGTTTTGCATTTCTGGACCGTTTCCTGACCGGACAAAATGTGACATGCAGTATTTTTTCTGTCGTAACCTGAACGGACTGCGCACGTGAGAACTGTAGCCCATAAAACACATAGGGATACATTGGGATGCATTTTTAGTGCAGGCGCGTACGGATCAGGTCAGCACAGAAAACGGACGTCGTGTGAACAGGCCCTTAATGAGCACCAGCCTGGGAAAAACACTGCCTGCAATGCAGTGCACCACAACAC